AAAAAAAAAAAAAAAAGGAGGGGGGGCTGTGCTTGTTAGGCGTGTCTCTTATGAAATAATGGAAACAAATATTTTTGCACATTAGTTCCCTGTCAGCTTGGAATAAACAGGCTCATTCCCAATTTGCATTGGCAAAAATAAGATTAATTCATTCTAATACTGAACACTATTTAAATATTCTGATTATTTTAAATCCCATCAATTGTGACTCTATTAATGATGACAAGTAATTAATCTATGTTATGCAGAAAGTGACTAAAAAAGCCAAATGCTTTCTAATTCCCCAGTATCTTTTTAGGTCAGGTTTCTGTGAGCGATATTGTTAAAACAAATTCAGAAAGATAATGCAGAGGTCAGAACATGTGCAATATCTGACCAACAAAAAACAGTTCTCAAAGTGCTATGCTGGTTTTCAAATGGGAACTGTATAGGTTTCTGTATAGGTTTACTTGGGATAAGAGCTATGAAGAATGAAATGCATTACTTTGCTGCAAAATATGAACATTGCTGTTTTTAAGAGGAAAGTCACTGGGACTAGATGTACTTTAAAATCAAAGACAGGAGGAGTGGGGAACTACTCTCAAAATTAAATTAGATCACAACTGTCTTGAATAGCAGAAAAAACAGGAGACTAACAACTGCCTTAAAATAACAAGACCCGTTCTCAGAAAACTAAAATGGTACAAGGAACAACCTTAACTTTAAATGTAGTAAATTTGCCAAGCAACATTACACTGCATATAAAGAGGGCAAAATATAAACAGTAGCCACATGTAAATACATTAGTAAAACTTTCAGGATGTTACTACTTTTCAAACTGACAAAGTTTAATTTGACACCTTCTGTTCGAAACCCTTTGTTTCTATTCAAAATCACGCCTTGAGCTGTTGCTATCAATCACTGCACTCCCTCTATTACTTAAAAAAACTGGCATGGACCCTGAAAAAGCTGAAAATGCCATGCAGATGAATTCTGAGATAATATGTTCAAACCTGTTATATACAACACAAATCCTGTAAAGTTATGTATTGTAAACCTACATTTATTGAGAACTAAAAGTCTTAAATCCATCTGCCACAAAGGAAATACTGTTATGTATTTTATAGTAACCAAGAACCATCTGCAAATGTCTTGCTACCGTAAGCAAGAAAGTGGTGCAAAAGATGCTAAACCTAAGACTGAAATAAATAACATTCTTTTGACTGGTTGTGGTTAGGGCTGTATTAAGGAAATGTAAGATTTAAAAAAAAAAGGGAAAAGAAAATGCAGAATGACTGCCAAACCAGTACTGCAAAAAAGCAAAACAAACTCAATGACAACACAATGGCAATTTATTATGGTCCATGAAACACATGACTGTATGCTCATTTTAAAGGAAAAATTAGCAGTTCTAAACTCAATATTCTAATGATGTGCTTTACTGACAGAATCTTGTTGTACCACATTTAAATAAAAATCCTGGCACCTTCATCTCTCAGCTGTTAATTTCTAACCAAACCCAATCTCTGATTTTCACTCTACTCTTTTTAGAACAGTCAATTCAAGTCACTTTGCTTCTAACATTTGAACAGATGAGGGATGTACAATGATTTTACTTGAGTCGGGAAAGTAATGTCCTTTAACAAATTAATTTATTGTATCTATGAAGCCTCTCACAAAGAGAGAACTCTTATAAGGCCTGGTATGTGACAGAGCTGCGAGTTAATAACACAACTAGTTTTTCAGGGGAAAATAGACATTAGTATTCTCTGAGGGGAAAAAAACTCATTTAATATACACACACATATATCTATATATATATTATCATTATGTACATATACATTTTTAAACCAAGCCATAAAAAGAGAAAGAAAATGAAAAATAATTCTTGCCGCAACTAAGAGGGAAAAATACATTTTAAAAAACAGAATGGTAATTTGAGTTCTAAGAAGCAAAAACATTTTATAGTCTGTATTTATTCCCCCTTACCCTCATCTTTTATGTGTTATTTGCAGGAGTATTTTGTTCTAATCTCTGGGGTATATAGTATAATAATATATGATATTAAAAGAAATCAATCTA